CTACAGGTAGAACACCCACACATAAAATCAAAATAAATAAATCTTTAAAAAATAAGAAGAAGAGTGATTGTAGTTACATAAAAGAGTGCTTTGGAAGTGTGCTTCAGAAAGCCAGGGATAGCCAGAGGAATCCAAAGAGACATTTTCTCATTACTGAGGCATTTGGACTTGAGACAGAGCTGATCAGAGGGTGAAGCACAAGGCTCTTCCTGGTCTTCACAATTCCTCGCTTCCCTCTTAAATGACTTCACCTAGAGCCAGGTCCCAGCCCACAAGGCTTATGTAGCCTCAGTGCTTGACTTGGTTAAGACTCTGAGTTCCTAGTTAACCAAGGCTTGCTTTTATCAAATTAACTAGAATAGAAAGCATTAGAGGACAGTTGAGTAGCCCATAATTTCTTAGACTGCTGTAGAATCTTACAGAAACAAACCCCAACATTTCTGAGCCCCATGCCATGGTTCCTACTGACACCGACATGGGACACAGTATGCTTGCACTGGGAAGGAAGCCATTTCTGCCTCTGGAAGTGTCCTTCGTGTTGTTACTGCCACCACCATTGATGGAACATATCTGCTGTCCCTGCTTCTTTCAATCACTTGACTCTCACTGCTGAGGTCTTAGGCTCATGCAGAAGTGACACCAAGCGTTTCAGAACTTTTTAACACACACGTTAGAACCCACCTCTGACTTAATCCCAAATACAAGATGTGTTTGCTGACACCATAACTGATCAGAATAAGTCAGATCTTCCTGGGGATACGTGCAAGGCAGTGAATCTCAATTACATGTGTATGTTAACTTTTATTTGCTTTTTGGTTTTGGTATAAAGTTAAGGCCAGGTAGGCAAGAAGTTAGGCATGAGGTAACCAAGGAATGTGCAGTTTTATCTTGGAATTGGGTCTCTTGTGATGGCCAGAATGCTCCTAAGGTTAAATTTTCTTACAACTGCAGTGCAGTTCTTCCTGCTATATCAGAAAACCCAGGCGCCAGAGGACTTTCCTAATTGAGACACATGTACCCCAGTGAAAAATCTCTATTGACTCTGGCCAGGAAGCAGATTGGTATCTCATTCAGCCATCATCGGAGAGGCTTCCTCTTGCAGCAGATGGGAACAAATACAGAGACCCACAGCCAGACATTATACAGATAATGGGAGACTCTGGAACACTGAGCCCTAAACAGGATGTCTCCATTAAATCCCTCTCCTTAGAGCTCAGGGAACTCGGGAGAAGAGGCAGTAAGACAAGAGCCAGAGGGGATGGAGGACACCAAGAAAACAAGGCCCTGTGAATCAACATGATCAATGCACATATGAACTCACAGAGACTGAGGCAGCGAGCACAGGACCTGCCTGGGTCTCCACAAGTTGGGGTCCTTAAACTGAAAGGAGATATGGGCACTTTCGCTGTCCCTAACCCTGAAGCTATCTATCTCCAGTTGATAACCACTTGTAAATAATAATTTACTTCTCTCCAAGGGAGTCCCAGCCTATTCTTAAGGGAAGGCTGCAGACCCAGAGGCAGATGGCCAACAGGAAATGAACTCAGGGGCATCTTTGGAGGTTCCTCGTCTCACAATGTCATGTTAGACATTTTCTCTTTTAATTTTATCTTCATTTTATTTATATGCTTTTCTTCTTCTCTTTTTACCATTGTGTCAATATTACGATTTCCAGTTTAGTGTTTTACGGGATTCCTGAGTGTTTGAATGAATGGGTCGCTGATTATCGTGCCTTCTCTTAGGCTCCCTTTCTTCTGTTTGTTTGTTTTGTTCTGTTCTGATGTGTTTATTTTTTGAAGAATCTATTTTTAACGAAAGGAAAAAATAGGAAGACAGAAAGAAATCAAAAAGGAAAGAAACGTCTGAATCCTCAGATTCCAGCTTACATCATCACCTCCATGGTGGTCTTGCTTCCCCCATCCCTGGAATTTTCAAGAGTCATTGAAAGAAATACCCTCAACAGGAGACCCAGTACGTCATGATTTGGGGAGGGGAAAGGGGTCACCTCATCCCATGAATATGCCACTAATCTCACAAGTAGACATTAAAACTTAAAAATCCACAGAGGGAGTTTAGTGTGCTGCTACCATGCTTAGCCTTTCTTTCAGTCCTTCTCTGGAGTGGGCTTTGATTTACTAAGTAGACTTTTGCTTAAACTATCTATGGCTCTCAGTTGAATTCCTTCCTTAAAGGAGATAAGAAGTGGGAGAAATCTTTGCACTGTAATGAAGTAAGTTCCCAATTAGGAGTAATATTTTGATGGAGATAGACCACAGCACTCAGCTGGACAACCACACTGTAAAAGCAGGCAGGGGAGGAGAAAACAGAGCTGTACCAACTCGTTAGCCCAGTAAGCAAATTGCATCCTGCTTTGTGAACAAAGGTATCCAATGGAGTCAGTTTGTTCTCAGGTATCTCCTTGATCCTCCAGTAAGGTTGTTTCCTGTGTCACAGATAGAGCTCGGCTGGGTAGCTGCAAGGTAGCTTTAGTGTAAGTTTGTGTTGAGTCTCTCTCTCTCTCTCTCTCTCTCTCTCTCTATATATATATATATATATATATATAAAATCTCCTGTCAACATTGTGTGTTGCTTATGAAGTGCTCAGCAAACATTGGGATGCAAGGCTATCTTGTCTACCTCCCTACTGAGGTTTGTTGGTGAGGGTTAATATAGACCACAGGTATTTTTACCATCTGAGTCTATTCAGAGTTATGACCTTTCTCCAAACTTTATCCACAAACTTCTAATCTCATTCTTCCCAAATAGTCTAATATCTGACCAAACCATCAGCCCATTCCAATAAAATGTCCATCGATAAGAACTCAGAGCCACCACTATTCACAAGCAAACTGCCTAAAGAGATCTCTAGGCTTTACTGACAAGTTTTCCCATCTTTGTTTTTCAAGAGACGTGTAACATAATAATTGTGAAACATTTCGGTATCTTTCTAGCAGGTGCCAGAATATCTTACAGTGCTTTCTCTAAGCCTTGGCACCCACACTTGCAGGTCAGACTCCTTGACTGTCAGTGGCTTTAGGAGGGGTGGCCTCAGGTCAGAAGTAGCTGTGCAGGAAGTGTTTACAAAACGACAAAACGTACTTCCAGAAGGAGTTTGTACTTTGGCCTATAGATAAACTCTTCTCTTTAAGACTAACACACAACAGGGTACACCCAGTTAATGGTGAGGTAGATGTGATAAGCCACTCAAGATGGTCAGCTGATGTCCCATGACCTGACTGCTGCTCTCTATCAAACTCCTGTAGCAAGGTGTTTCTCATGAGGGGAACAATTACTTGATGAAAAGGGTATGGCTTTTATCCAAAACCTTAGGAGCTTCCATGTGATTCTTGTGTTATCACTTGCTGCGGGCTCGATTTAGCATCCTATTCACTCACCTCGTGTTTCTGAGGTGCAGTTTATCCTGATGAGTCATAAAGGTTAGAAATGAAGCTGGTGGAGCTGTGATTCCCAGCGGTGGGAAAGCCATGTTCATGAGGGGCTCTCTTTAAAGCTGCAGGGCGGTAGCAAACAGAAATAGAAACACTGCTTTCCAAATCCACAGAGGTCCAGAATACCTTTGTCTTCTTTTCAATGGGATGATACAAACTTAGTGGTTTTAACAGAATTCTGGAGTTGCTGCTGCAAATTTCTCCAGATCACTGTGTTCTCAGAAACTGTTATAAATCTTGACATCATTTTGGATCTTCTCGCTTCCTTTGCACATTCTCTTACTACAGCATCTAGAGTAGCATTCTTTTTTTAATTTTTTTGTCACGTAGGGATTGGTGACATGTGGCAAATGAGATCAATCATGTAGGGTTTCACAGAAAAGGGTCAATTCTAGCACAGGTGTGGGAGGCTGGTGCAACCAGGACTAGTGATGGAAATTACCATACCCACTGGAAGAAAGCAGGGATTTTGTTGTTCGTACAGAGGTTAAAAGTAAAAAGCATTTTTCTGGATTAATGGTTGTATATGATCAAGCACAGGCCATGTGGGTTTGCTCAAGGAAAATGGCTAACTCTAGAATAGTAGGTATGGTTGAATTTCTGTCCGTGCTTCTCATCTACTCCTGTCAGATGCTTCTGCCTAGGGCACTGATCAAAGATGAGAGTTGAACAGGGATGAAAGAACCTCTACTTCTGCAGTTCAACTCTTTAACAATGGAGCAAGGGTTTGTATTATTCATGGGAATTCCAGGGAATTGCTTATTTCTACAATAATTCCCCACAGCTCAGGGAGCTAAGTAACATCAAAATCATCCAAGTTTTATATATATATACTAACTATATGTTCTGACCCAGTAAAATCATACACCACAGCTTCAGAGTTACCTTCAGGTGCTGAACATATTCGATATTATTAGCATCAGTTCTAAATTCTGTGGCACACGGACCCGTGGGATGGCTCAACAGGTAAAGGTACTTGCTGTAAAAGCTTAACAACTTGAGTTTGATCCCTAGGAACTTCTGAGGAAGAATGGACTAACTAAACTTGACTTCTGATTTCCACTAATAGTCTGTGGTATGTATATGTACCTGTACTGCACACACAAACACAAACATATACACACACATACAAACACACACACTTACACACATACATACACACACACACACAGAAATTTTAATTCAGGACATAGCTGTTCTAGTAAGAGATCACATCCAAAGACTTTCTAGGTCTGTGTGATCTGGCTGTAATACAAACACGCCTTTAATCCAGGAGACAGAGGCAAGCAGATCTGAGTTCAAGGCCAGCCTGGTTATGGAGCAAGTTTCAGGTAAAGAAAAGCTTAGGTTCAGTTGTGGTGGTACATGCTGTTAATCCTAAATAGTGAAGGTAAAGTTAGTTTGTAGAAGGAAATACCCATGTTTGAAAGTGATGCTTAATTGAGTGGCAGGAGCACTGATGAATCACAGATAGACTTGACAGAACAGCATACGCCCAACTCTCATGGGAGGAGAGAGGACAGGGAAATTAACGTACAATGCAGAGAGGAGAGAGAGAAGAGGCAGTTTTACTGGGACAGTAATAGAGAGACAGGCTGAAGACAAAGAACTCAGGTGAAGACCAAATGAGCCAGAGAATGAGAAAGAGACAAAAGATTAGAGAGGATTGCTGGAGCTAGTTTGAGGCCAAGGAGAGCAATTGAGGAGCCGAGAGAGAAGCCAGATTAAGTCAACTGGGAGAGAAGTTTGAGCCAGAACAGCTGAATTGAACCAGCCAGGCCAGAGCTCAGAAAGAACAAGAAAGGGTGAGCTTATTCAGCAGTAAGTCTCAGAGGCTGAAAACATTCAAGGCCTAGATTGTATGGAGGCTAGAAGCTTCCAGGGTTAGGCCTAGATTAGCAGACAGAGGAAGTAATACCTTGTGACAACAATTCCCCCAGGAGAATAAAAGCTACATTTACACACACAATAAATAAATTGTGTATCACTGGGTGAGTCTCCGGGAATTAACAGCAGTGAGCTATTTTCAGTAACGATCTAAAAGGCTGAATAACGAATATTGTCTCTTCCTTTCTCTGATGCATAGTTAGCTTGACAGACAGGAGGTACAGTGCCTGCTTTTATGTTTCTGCCTCTTCCAAAGTGACTTTTTTTTTTTTTTTTTTTGCCTCCCAGTACTGGAAGTGACCCAGCTCACAGTGCTTGATGAAGACAGTGGATTCTTACCTCAGTGGCTCAGAGTGACCTTTTCCATCCCAGGTCTGGATTCTTTTTCTTTCTTTCTTTCTTTTTATAAATTATAAAAACCTTGTAGGACCTTGGACTATCGTTTCAACGCAAGGGGCTTGAATGTGGTCTCTGGCATGGTCATCAAAAGGCAGGTGTTATGGTCATCCGAAATCCTGGTGTTATGTTATTTTACATCTACTGCCTTGAACTTGGTCATTAAATACTAATATTTGTGACTTCAAAATGCCAGTATTTCCCAAGATGTCAGGGAAGTCTGTTTCTACTGTATTAATCTCTGGCCTTTAGAAAAGAGCCAGTGAGACCTCCTAAGACTTCTAAACAATGCAGAAGCAGTTTTATTAAAAAAAGAAAAAAGGGCTAAAGGCTTCCTCTAACCTTAGTAGGGGCTATAGCATGAGTCATTGGAATCTTCCAAGGTATCTCTATTGCAAACCTTTGAAGGTCCTAGTCCTTCATCATCCCCACCCTTAGTTTTGTCTAAGGAATTTTCCTTGACTTTCAAACTCATCACCTTGTAAATTGGCAACATCTAAGGACAATCTTTGGGTGTTTTGGGTGGAGGTTGTATGCGTGTAGGGGGTGAGGGTGGCAGTGAGAGGAATACCACGGCCCACACAATTATAGAAGATGAACAATGACCCCGTGGGGGACATTGTACCTACAGCATTTTACCTTGCTCTGTCCAATGCTAGGAAGAATAATGTCCGCACACTCACTGTCCCTGCATTACTTCACTCCTTCGTGTGAAGCTGGGTGTCCCAGGGCTTTTCTACAATGAAATTCCCCACAGAGGTGACTGAGGGAATCCCATCTGTTAATATCAACTGCGTCTTGATTCTTTTCAATCAGATCAAATTCTAATTTCCAAGTTGCCCCCATTACCTTGTGTCTATGCTTGGATAGTGTGCATACCTCATGTAACTCCATAATTTAGGGTGTCCCCCCCCACCAAGACATCTACATCCTAGTTGCTAAGATCTATGAGTGAGTTAAATTACATAGCAAAGGGGAGTTAGAACTGCAACGGAAATTAAGACTGCTTAAGATAAGCTTACTTAAAATAAATGGATTATCCAGATGAGCCCACATAGGTAGAAAGGGAAGGTAAAAGAAAGGAGTCGAATGGAGGAGAAATGCTCAGTGAGATATATAATATTACTGCCTTCCAAAATGAAGGAAGAAACCTCTCATGCAAGGCAAAAGCAGAGCACCTGTGTTTTCCTGCAGAACTCCCCAAAATGAACACAGCCCCGATGACACCTCCGTTTCGGGGCTCACACTTCCTTAACTGTAAGCGTTTGAGTGAATGTTCTTTTTTGTCAACCCTTTTTGAGCCCACTGTTAACATGGTAGTGGTTAGAAAACTAAGGCAGGATTTTAGTTTCAAACTCTAGAAAATCAGCGGCCATTTTAATTATAAGACGGCTATCAAAAAAGGTGAGGGCTGGAGGGGAAGGGTTGCAGAGCACATGTGAGAAGTCACACCAGCTTTCCCTCAGGCACACGTCACTGAGCTAGGACCGACTCCACAGAGAAGTGTTCTTGGCCCCTCTTCTGTGTGCACCAACGCTGAGTGCTAACACCAAACAATGTGTTTAGATCTGCAGCCCTTCACCTTCTCGGATGTGTGTGTTTCCCCATGTCACCCTCTACACAAACAGATTACACAGTCTCAACTTCTTTGGATATAAAAGAAACCCTTTTCCTTTTCAGGTGCTTCCCCCTCCCCCCCAATTTTTTTTGTTTTTAATGATTTTATTAAACAAATGAGAACAGTGCACATTTATGAGACATGATGCTGTGTTTTAATGTATGTTTATGTACTTTGTGGAAGTTTAAATTTATACAGCCAGTGTGGAAAATGGTATGAAGATGTATCTATAAAGAATTACCATCTAGCTGACAATCCCACTTTTGGGAACATATCAAAAGGAAATGAAATTAGTGTGTCAAAGAGACACCTTGCTCACTGTGATGCTAGTGAAAATTTAGAAGCAACCCACATATTTATCAATAGCTGAAGAAAGATGTCTTCAAGGGGATACTAGGGTAGCCTTAAAAAAGCAAGAACGCTTGCCATTTGTGGGAACCTGGATCTGGAGACACTATGAGTCAGTAACTTCTAATCAAAACCAGGAATCTGTGCGTCTCAAGTTTTACCCCTGTACTGTAGCTGCAATGAACGTTGACACGGACTAACTGCCGTGTGACAAACTTTTCCTGGGAAAAAGCAACACACATGCCTATTCAACCCAGACAGGGATCACATGACAGACCAAAGTACTGATCTCACCAAAGTCCAACTTGGTGAACCAATGAGCTTTATTGGTGCTCCTTACAAGAGTATGGGTGAGGGGTTACTTACAAAAGCAGAAATGACTCTAAGACAGCTGAATCACCAAAGCCCACCCCAGCATGGGTGACAACTCACAGAAGCTGAGAACCTGAAGCACACTGAACAGCCTGCAGGCAACATGACAGGTTAGAAAGGGTCCCTTCCAAGTGCTCAGTTGGCCTAAGTCTCTTCCAGGTAGCTTAGCTGGTCTCTGCTTCTTCCAGGCAGGTGGTCTGGTCTCAGAGGCTTCTTTGCTGCTTTGCTTAGCTCATGTGAGAGGGACCCTCAGTTTTTATTGCTTACTCTGACAGGGAGGGACCTTGTGAATCTGGCCAGGTTCAGGGACTTCTGGAAGCTGTTTTGAACTGTTCTCCTTCCTGTTTAAGGAGTTTCCCTACAGGATGGAATGTTTCAATCTCAGAGGAAACTGTTACACAACACTATCTGGTATACTAACTTCTTTAATTTTTTTTTTTAAAATTTATGTGTATGTATGTATTCTAAGTGTGCAGGTACTTGAAGATGCCAGAAGAGGGAGTTGGAGCTGGAGAGTTGTGAGTTGTCTGGCATGGGCACTGGAAACTGAACTCAGGTCCTCTGGAAGAACAGCAAACACTTGTGAACACTGAGCTCTTTCCATCCCAGCCACTTGTTAAGTGCCTGTCTTCTTGAATGGGCTCACACTTTACTGCTGAGGTAGTAGATTCCTCACACACAAGGTGTTTCAGATGTCAGGTTAGTGAAACAAATGACACAGTCTGCCATCACAACTGCAGTCCTAGAAGACGAGGAATTATCTGTCTCTTAGGGTGTATTTCTGAAAGGGACTGTCATTGGCTTTGTGTGGGTCCTTCTTGCTGGCCTCTGGACCCAATTCTTGTTTAAGCTGAGTAAGGATTTGTTGACTGGCTGGTTTCTGTGGGATCTTTGATTGGCTGTCCATTATGGAAAGGTATGGGTATGAAAAGGAAAACTTGTTCTATCATCAAAGGAAGAGAAAAAGGAAAAAAAGGTTAGGTGGTAAGTCACAGTATGAAAACTAATAGTCACAGCTAGTCTCACAGGCATAGTTAAATCCCAGGCCTGCAAAGTCAGTTTACTCAAAGTTAAGAATACTGGTTTTGGTGTCAAGCTGGTTGCCTGTATCATATTAGTTTCATGATTTCCTGTTCTACTGTGTAAGAAGTGTAACTATTTTACAGAATTATTGTGACTAATGTATGAGTAATATCTTTAATGAATTTAAGATAGTGTCAGGTACAAAATAACAGCCAGTACTAGTATTAGTATGCTACTACAATTCAGATTTGCAAGGAATTTAAACGCACTTTTGTGTACCTGATCTTATCTAGTTTCCAAAATTGCAGGTTTACTAATGCTGAGGCAGAGGTGGATAATGTGTGTGTGGATACTAAAAATACCAGACAAAAACAATTTAAATAGCTTTTAAAAAGTTTCTTCAGCCGGGAATGGTAGCACACGCCTTTAATCTTACTTAGCATATAGCAGGCAGAGGCAGGAGGAGCTCTATGAATTCAAGGCCAGCCTGGTCTACCATTTGAGTTCAAGGACATCTGGGGCTACACAGAGAAACCCTGCCTCAAAAAAAGAAAATTTTTAAGTTTTAAAAAATTCCATTTATTTACATTCATTCATTCATTTATATATTTAAATGTGGGGGGGGGAGGGTGAGAGGGTGAGAGAGAGAGAGCAAAAGAGTCTGTATATGTCTATTTGTTCACACAGATAGACACGCGTGTGGAGGTCAGAAGACAACTGGTAAGAATCAGATCTTTCCTTGTACCATGTAGGTCCTGGGGATCCAACTCAGGTCACCAGGCTTGGTTTCAGGGTCCTTTAAATCATCTTTCAAAGATATAAATCAAATAATTTTAAGATCCAAACTTCTGGATTCTCAATCTCTCTGTCTCTCTGTCTCCCCTAACCCACATCCTTAGTTATGCCATTTACACTCTGTGCAGCTAATCTTTACCATGGCATGTTAATAAGACCATGTGCGAGACTCGTATATACTTATGTAGCATAAATTTGCTAGTTCTTGTTCATGATAAAAATATAACCAATCTCCCAGAGATCATATGATGATTTTTGGCACGCCCATGTGAGCGATGTGAGCGTTGTGCTATGTGTGAAATGGCATTTTTTTTTTTTAAATGTGAAAAAGCTTTTAGAGAGATAGCAGATATGTCAAGATAAAACTGAGGAGGCTTGCCCATGCAGGAAAATGTCACATATGAACAGTTTGGTTTGGAATTACAATCCTTTTTTCTTGTAGGTCTCTGAAGTAATTGAGCAGCACCTCTCATGTGCTAAGAAGACTCACACAGGCCCTCAGAAGCGGTGTGAAGCTGCTGCTTTGTCTACTACAATGAGTATGGAGAAGGATTCCAAGTTATCAGTCTCTCCTGGAAATAAGGCAAATGCTTGAGAGACTCTTTGGGACCTAGATGACTGAAATGGTTTTCAATTTTGAGCAGATTCTTTTTGTAGAGGATATGTTCTTTAAAGGCTTAAAAATTATGTATTTGTGATGTAATATTTACAGTATATTAAGGGGTCATCTTATTTAAAAAAATCTCAAGACGATCTCTTCAGTAAATATCATCTTGGGAGTCGTGATTAAGTTTAGTTAGTTTCATACTTTTTTTTTTCTTAAACACACAATGCAGAGATCAATGGATTTGGGTAGCCTACCCCCAACGGATAGGTCTGTGCCACAGCCCGTGAATCTATGGCTCAGGGAACATTGAGGAAGAGTGGGCAGAAACAATATAAGAGCCAGAATACCATGATGTCTGCCGTGAACCAGTCCTCTAGAAATGGCTGTATGAACAGTATTGGAACAATGGCAGTATCAGTGGACATATTAACACAAAAGGAGAAAAATTTGCAGAGTCCCACCCGACAAAAGAGCTATGGGCAACTCAAAGAAAGGGAGAGTTAGATTCTCCCAGAGCCCCCTTCTTGGTCGTCTAATGCAGAGTGCTCAGCCTTGAAACCATCTACACACAAAAACAACAGAGATGGACTCAGCTAGTTACATACACACATATGCAACAATAATAATGGATGAAAAGGAAGCTGTCTACTTGAGAGTGGGCCTGAGAGGACAGCTAGGCGAGGCTGGATGGGGATGTGAATGTGGAAAGTAGTATAATTCTATTTCAACGAACCATTTTTAAAAAGACCCTTTTGTTGATTTCAAGTTACATAACATAGGATGAATTGATTTTATCTAACATTGGAAATATTTTTGACCTTTGTTGTCACCAGTCCAGTAGAGACATGTGCGTGGTCTCTGCAAACACTGTGGCCAGCGGAGTGTTGATCCGTGAGAGGAAAATGGAAGTCTGGTTCAACGTGACTCAGTAGCCAGTATGGGTTCAAATTCAGAGTCTGACACCAGGTAGTTTATTTTAGGCATTTTTAAGCACTGCCACTTTAGCGAAAACTTTCCTGGTGACAATTAACTCAATCCTGTGTGCACAAGACATGGCTAAGACATAGACTTAAGACATGGCTACATTGAAACTCTTTGTAAAGTACGTGGGATGTACTTTCCACAAAGATAGGTTCTATAGAACCTATAGAGCCGTCTCAAAGTAAAAAGGGCACATGATAAGGGTCTGGGGAGGGTAGTGCTATAGATTGACCGAGGAAGAAGATAAGGGTCTGGGGTCTAAAGAAGCCCATGTCACATAGGTGGCACAGAGGTCACCAGGCCATTAACCACCCTGTTCCCAGCCTTCTAGGTGGAGAGCAGGTTATACGGCTCTCCCTTTGGAAAGGCAGCCCTGTGTGTTTCATACCCCTGGCTTCCCTAGTACTTATCTATGAGTACAAGGAGCCACATGTCTCCAACAGAGACAGCCTGTGGTCCAAGAATTAAGACAAAAAGTACTTTCAGGTTGTGTCCTTTAGAGCCACGGACTTTGTTTTGCTTCAACTGTCTTTATTTTCTTTCTTCTTCCCCAGGAAAGGAATTCTGTAGCATCTTGATTTTATCTACTGGACTGAAAGTTATAGTCTAGGGGTCAAGAGAAAATAGTTCTGTGTGAAGTTCCAGATGTATGAACGAACAGGAAATAGACAAGGATGACTGACGCTCATCCTGACTCAGAGCTCATGGACCTGTGCATTGGGTGTGTATAAATCCCATGACTCATCTGCTTGCACTTCCACATCTAAGAAGACCAAGGCTGTGAGCCTGAAACGCTTGCCTGTAAACATCTGTCTTGTTACTAGCCTGGGATTCAAACACTGGGCACTGGAATCTGGTTATCAATCTAACACACCATTTTACCCCAATATGATGAACTTAGAGGATATTAGAAAGACTCCAATTCTAAAATAATGCATCTACAAACACATAAAGTACAGAGAAACGTTTGTCTTTTATAGCAGAGTTTTATATTTGGGCAAATATGTCAAAAGAACCCCTTAAATCTTTTGTTAAGTACAGAACTATTTGGTTTGAGGACGGTATCAGTGGGCTTTATTAAAGTCCACTTATCCTCATCATAACTGCTGCAACCATTGCAAGTATCATTTTCACAGTGTAAAAATATTTCAGTTGACTCATGTAAAGTAGTAGTTAATACTCTTACTATGCATTTATTAATTTTATATTTGAATCAAGGTATCAGTAGTTCAGGCTGTTCCAGAACTCACTATACAGCCAAAAGTGGTTTTGTATGTAGGGCAATCTTCTTGTCTGAACCTAGCCTTATTAACTTTTGTGTATGTGTGTGTGTGTGTGTGCGTGCGCACAGGCAGGCACAGGTTGGTATTGAGGCCATAGGTCAGCCTTGGCTATCACTCTTCAGGAGCAGTCTACCTTGTTTCTTGGGCACAGGATCTCTTTGGCCCGTGGCTCTCTGGTTAGGGTAGGCTGGCTGGCCAGCAAGCTGAAGCTGGCCACCTATCTGTGTGTCTCCAGCAGTGGATCTGGGTTCTGCGGCTCAACCTCTGGTTCTCCTGCTTGTGTGACAAAGACTTTGCCAGCTGAGTCACTGCCCCAGCCTTCATCTTTAACACACTGGCATTACCATTATTAATCTCGTTTTATTGGAGGACACCAAGGTAAACAGAATTATAGTAACTTCCCCAAGGTCACCCAGCCTGGGAGGCAGGGCTTGCTTGCACTGCTGGAGAATGGTTACATTCAGCTTCGGTTATTTCGGTACATAGTGTCTTCTCTGTGAGCAGGGTATACACAGGTTGTTCTTTATCTTTACTCTTGGAGGATTTTTGTTGTTACCTTTTTTTTTTTCCGTTTTGCTTTTTTTTTTTTTCTTTTTACTGCTGCAATTTACACAGCCTGATTACCCAAGCATCCCTCTCAAAGCCAAGAGATGCACTTTACAGCTGAGCCTAGGGATATCTCAAGGTCAGACAAAAGGTATTGGACAAAATCAAGATCATTTTTCCTTTTACCTAAACGGAATCAGAATTTGAAACGACCCCTTCTTGACTGCTAAGTTTGAACCTTTGAGTCCGAGTGATGAAGCCCATGAACGGTGATCGTTTTCCAGGCAGATATCCATGTACCGAGCCACACTGCAAGCAAAGCATCTTATTTCTGATTCCAGCGACTTCCATTGCAAATCCATCTTTCCTTTGTTACCAATTCCATTTGCCAGAATCTGTCTGGAAACAAATATTTATATTCAATTCCATACAATTATTCCTTTGCTGTATGATTAAAAATGAGAAAAAGAGAAGAGCAGTGATGAGTGTCCACCCATGGATGTGATGTCGATGGAAGGGTGAGTGAAGGAAGATGGGGTGCTGCAGCAGCAGGCAAGCCCTGGGAGCTGCATTATTGATCATTTAGGGAGAACTTACCATGCTCCGTGCATTCTGTGATTTTATGTTAATTTTTCTCACCATCCCAGGGAGCCAGTGCTGTTTTACTGTTGGTGAACTGGAAGAGCAAGGTAGAGTCAGTAATCAAAGCTTCATGGCAAGCAGAGGCAGAGCTAAGGCTTGACATCTGATCCATCTGTAACTAGGGAGTGTTTTCCTTATCTTGTGCCTGTAAAATGCCAGGGAGATTCTGTAGAGATGCCCACAAGAGGCTTAACATGAAAGCGTGGCATCCTCATACAGGGGTGAAGGCAGAGGCAACCACAGAACAGAGTGGCTTCGAGTTGGAGATCAGTTGAAAAGAAGAAAATGGTAACTGTTCACTTGGGATGGATTTAAGAGGGTGATACACTCATGACAGAGAGAACAAAGACTTGCTGAGCCCCTGGTCTCCAGACTCAGGAAAGCATTAGTCACCAATCATAGATAAGTTTATTGTGGTTATACGGAGTCATGAGGATATGCTGTTAGATTTATAGTCTTAGGACTTCTAAGAACAAACTTAAGGCTGCATAAAATTTAATTATCAGTTAAGTCATGTGGCATGAACTGATGGTATAATTCTAGCACTTCAGAGACCACGGCAGAGGAATCATGACTTCCAGACTAGTCTGGGCTACTTAGCAATAAGATCCTGTCTTGGGAAACAAAAAGCAATGAAAGAGAAAGGCATGAGGAAATAGCACACAGAATATACTTAATAAGATACTCCATGAAGGAGAAACAATTCTGGAAAGGCATTCTCACTAAAGGATTTTTAAAATTAAAATTTAAAGTTAACACACAAAGGTTTCACAGTGGCATGCTCACGCCTACGTGTTATTACACTTCTTCACCCCCTCCAGTGAATTACACCCCTTCACCCCCTCTCTCCAAATAGCTCCGCTTTCCACTATGCTTTCATGTCACATGCATTTCTCTAGCAGTTTTTATGACATCATGCTGCAACTTAGCCTAAGTCCACAAAGCTATCTGTCTCCAATCCTTTGACTCAGCTCTGGCAAATGTAACAGATCAGATTACCTTTCTTACCCAAAGCTGTCTGTCCACCTATTGCAGCCTCTTTGTGCAAACTGACCTTGTGTGAGCTTCCAAGGCAGGTCCTCTCCTAGTGCTTTATGGGAAATCCCTGTCTTGGCTTGCTGAAAGCCAGGCCCTACCCCCAGCTGGGACACAGACTGTGATGACTGGATCTTAAAAGGGATCAAATGAAATGGGAAGAAGAAAGAATGTGTTTGGTTGTGTTCTGTTTCACTAATACTTTTTTTTTTTTAAGTCTTGAGTTTCAGCCCCCACCTCTCATTAAACTAACCACAGAGTGTTCTGTTTGCTGATACCGCCTTTTCATACGGGGCTTCAGGACATTAATCAAAAACAGCACTGAAGCTAAATTCTCCATTGATCCTGGATCCTGTTTTGTTTTGTTTTTCCTTTTAAAGACCATCTTCATATCCCAAAGCCTGTAAGTTTTTGTGTCACTAAGAACCAACTGAAAACATCTCCCCTTTATTCCTTTTTCCTCTTCCTTTTGTTTGGAATCATCTTGGTTCAGAGTCCCAGGTGTCTCAGTAGGTTCATCAGTGACCAGCAATGTGGCTGCTCTCAACGCTTTAGCCCTTAGCCTCCTCTTCTATGAATAGGCAGCCTAACACAACCCTAACGAGGTTATGGAGATGAAGGGAGAGAGCTCTTCTACATTCAGCATGTCCCTGCTATCCGGTGGAGTACCACATACTCCCACACACACTCGCATCTTCCTTATCCCTTTCTCTCTATCATTTACACTGCTTTTCCCCTCTCTTGCTGCAAAGAGAGGCCTTGGGACAATCATGTTGAGTCTATGCAGCATTCCCACTGGAGTGAGTCCACATTGTCTTTGATCCCCCAGGCAATGCCGCTGAGATATTTTGAAGTTGTGCTCAACTAGGACATTTGCATATTTCTTCCAAAGCCTTCTCTTTGTTAATTGCCTGTTTCTCTACTGTTTAGATAAAGTTCAAGGATTGGTATATCAAAACCAACCAACCAACAACAACAACAACAACAAAACAAAAAACAAAAACAAACAAAATGAAAAACCCCAACCAAGCAACCAAAAAAGCAATAAGGGAGGACAGTCAACTTGGCAGCTATTGAAACTGTCCCTCTGTGGCATTTCTTTGTGTCTAGAGAAGCTTTTGGGTCATCATACTCTTTTTGATGCCAAAGCAGTTCTTAGAATGAAGGTTTTTTGGTTGTAACACACAGCTGAATTCTAGTCTCATGCTTGATTTGTTTTCTTTGGGGCAGAGGTGACATGGACTGTGGTCTATGGGTAACTCTTGGACCATCAGTTTTCTCTGTGTCTGTCATGAGAAAAACACTAGGGAATCTGAGTGAGGTGTTGTATAGATATAGTCTTTATTTTCTGTGTAGGGAAAGCAAATCATTCTCATTGTATAGCTTGGTGGGTTCTTGTTTGGTTTTTCCTTTTGAGACATGGTTTTATGAAGCCCAGGCTGGACTTGAACTTGTTATGCAGCTTAAGCTGCCATTCAACCTGGATCCTCGTGTCTCTATATCCCAGGTGCTGGGATTACAATAGTGTTGACCACTATGCCTGGGTAATACTTTTTACTTTTTTGTGTGTGTGTTTTGTTTTTGTTAATAGAAAAGCAACAATTCCCTTGTCCCATTCCCCACACTTGACTTCATGGTAGGTCTCAAGAGTTGGCTGGTTGCAAGTTAGGTAATTGTGAAGAAAGACAGGTTTACGCCTAGCTGCTTTCAGCCCTAACAGGCAATGTTTCCTCACATTATAACGCCTCAAGGTTCCAGATCACACCAGAGATGAATGGTCACACCCTATCCAAGAGACCTGGCATTATGGTCTGAATGGGGACCCCTCCCAAAATATGGTCCAGACCTTCCCTCTGGTATGTGATTATACTATTCAGAAGTGGCATTTTTAGATGTAATCAAGTTAAGGTGAGGACACACTGAATTCCGATGAACCTTCGCCCAATGACAAGAGTCCACGTAAGGAGAGCAAACTTTAGTGGGAGACACAAACAGGGAGAGGACACCACGTGACGATAGAGACAGATTGGAGTGACCGATCCATGTATAAGCTGGAGCACAGGAAAGAAGCTACAAAAGAGGTACCTAACAGAATCTCACTCAGAATCTTGAGGGGGAACCAACCCTCTTCACACCCTCATTTGCATGTCTATCTTCCAGGACTAGGCAAATATTTTGAGTTGCTTCAAACCACTCAGTGTGTGGAAATTTGTGATCTCATGCAAGGAGACTAATACATGCATTAATCTTCGACTGCGAGAAATGAGTGTGCCTGGCCCGTTCAGACCTTGTTTAATTTAGCGAGCACTGTCATGTGCTCTGATATAGGATGTATTTCTGTCTTCCCAGCTTGCATGTGCCTGGGACTCTGGGTAGTGAGCCTCCCCCACAGAAAGCTCCTGGTCTTTTGGATTTAGTCAGGAACTTGCTTTATAGTTTTGGATTCTCTTGATTGGATTCCTTGTGGTGGTTATTTCAAACCTAGACTGAAACTAAGAAAAGCTTTTAGAAAACTATCCTGGACTCCTTTAGCTGATATAATTTTAATTTGCAATTTTCTTGTCAGGGTGAGTGCCAAAGAAATTGTTAAAAAATCATTACCCAGCAGTCCCATGACAGTGTCATTTTATGGTGATGGGGTAATTTCTCCCTTCAGAAAGAGCTATTTCTTGAGTAATTATTTTGGGTAGTAAGTGACAGGCTCAGACTATTTTGGGACTCTGTGGCCTTGTCTCCTGACTTGCGTTTACCTTGAGGAGAACGTGTGTGGCAGGTATCACCTGTGACTCATTCTTCTTCCAGTGATTTTCATGTCTTCAGCAGAATGTGACAAGGATGGCTCAGGACACCTGCTGCTGTGCAGCTCTTATGTAAGACCATCGGAGAGGATTGCTCTCCATTGCTTCTACTCAGGCTAGGTGTCACACACACACACACACACACACACATGAGTGGGGAGGGGAGGGGATAATGAGAGAGGGAAAGGAAGAGAGGGAGAAAGAGGTGAAGGAGAATGCTTAGGAAGTTTACTAGAGGTATGAGGAAGTATACAATAGACAAGTATGCCAGCTTCATGTAGGGCTTCCAACTGAAAGCCACCCCAATGAAACCAACACAGGTATAAATGAAGTAAGTTTCTTTCAGGGCTCCTCCAATACAACTTTTGGGGCTTCTTGTTAATTTCTGGATGATGACAAATGAATTAAAATACTGCTCAGGCGTTCCAGCTCCTGTCTTGTCACCACTCTCCCCCAGAGACCCCTCACTGAGTCTCTGCTGGCCCTCATTTCACTGTTGCATGGCCTGGATTCTTATTTCCATGGTCTCTGTTTTAAGCCCACAGCCTCCGGCGCTAACGGTTCTTAACGTTTGAGGGTGGAGGTGCTGTTTTCATAGCGTGGACTCTTGAGCAGCTACGCTTTCTCCCAAAACAAGGATGGTATGGGCGATGCTTAGTGTGGCCAGCAAGGTTGCCAGGGTTACTTCTGTGATCCTCATCTCCACTCTGCATAAAGAAACTGACATCTAGGTACGCTCGATTCATTGTTCTAGAACTCGTGAAGTTCTAGAACTCGTGAATCAGCAACAAAACGGAAAGAATGTTCTGGTGCACAGGCCACATAGTTCACATCAAATGTTGACAGCAGGAAAAAAAAATTCTACATTTAGAAATAAAATTTAGGGCTGGAGAGATGGCTGAGCCATTAAAGGGTAGGCTGAGAAAATCAGATAAAATCTTAGGCTGTGCCATTCTAATAACTGATGGGTGTTGTCTAGGTTTTATTTTGATTTCTTTATTTTACAGAACCGGGGGTCTAACCCAGAGTCTTACACAAGTTAGCCATCCGGGTCACTGTTAAAGTCTCTCACAAGCCCCATGGGCTTTATGTATTTGCCAGAACTCAATCTAATTACTTTACCGTTACTTAACGTTTTTTCAAAACTCCTTACTGTCTTTGTTTTGTTAGGGGACCATGTTGCACTGTGAAGCCCAGGCTGACCTCCAGCTGCTCCCCTCTCCCCGCCTTCATCTCCAGGGTGCTGGGATCACTACCCCCCACCATGCCACGGTCTTTCGTGGTTTTTAAACTGTAGAGGAAACCTCAAGCCAAAGTGCCCAAAACACTGATTCACCCTCCTGCCTCCCGGCATTTTCCAGAAATGATTTTCCCCTGCGGTCAGAGTGTGATAAAAGGCTCGACTTTACGGTTTGACCCAAGAGTTACCTGGGACATGCAGAGCGAAAATATGTGTTTCATTAAGCTAAGAGGAAAAGCACAGCGATCCTCCACGTCAGCAGTTTGTCTCCATCAAGTACAGATGTGCCACAACCACAAAGTCAACCCGGTGTCATTACTGCGTTTTTCTTTCCTCATTCTGAGGTGGAAACGGGTGGTTTGGGATTGTTCCTTTTTGAACAATCAAGGATTTTTGAGGCTGCAAGGAAAGGATCATAAAGGCAAAGTTCATTGAGTCATTGACTGCATTCATAGACAACAAGAGATGGAATTA